CACTGTGTCCCCATTACAAGTGTCAGAGGAATTTATGACTCCCTGTTGCTGGGTTAAAACCAGACTGAGTAGCACAGAGTAAGTTTCAAGCTGCTGGGTCTGCAACTCAAACCTCAACCAGGTGGGAATAGAGTTCCTTAAAAGGTAGGTCACTTGCTTGCTTCTTGATAAAACTTTAATTAGACTTCAGAGAGTTTGTTTAGTCCTATCTACACACTTGTATATAATTAATTCACACATGTGAATTTGGCCAGAATCTCCATTAATTCACACAAGTGAATTTGGCCAGAATCTCCATTACCTATAATGTTACCGTTTAGTAATTTCTATCCAATTACTCCCAACTTGCTCTTTGGGTTTAAATTCTTTTGTCCTCACTATATTCAGACTTGAAGCTAAGATTCCTGAACTACTGCAAAATCTCATAGTCACATTTTCCATATATATATATTTTTGAGGCTTAAAAACATATGAAAGGACAAATGCGTGGCATGGTGTTTAAGGCTCCAGATTTCCACATGGCTGACCATATTATTAGTAAGTACCAGGCCTGGTAACTTGAAAATGATGCTGACAGGAGAATGGATATTGGATTGAAGAGTGGCCATCCTTCCTGGTTAATTTATTGTGGTGGCCTTTACAAACCTATGGCTTCTCTACAAAGTACATTTCTACAATCCCTTAGTCAGTGGGGATTGTAGAAATGTGCTTTGTAGAGAAGAATACCCAGAAGATTGTAGAACACCCAGAGTCAGCATCTCAATGCTAACATTAACTTTATGTCAGAAGGTCAGTGTCTCAATATGCACGTGGGCCTCACTATACAGGTCTTGGTTGCAAAAGGGCTAAGGTACAAATAATTTTACTCATTCTGAACCTCCTAAAGACTGAATATAAGGATAGTGCTAACAAAGTGGACAACAAACTATATTAATTTCTCTCTTCTCTCTTGAAAGAAATGGAGAAACATTGAAAATAAGAAAAAGAAAGATAATAAGAGGATAACAAAGCAGAACATCCTGAATTCACAATTCTGCGCTTCTCCATTTCTGTGCATATGTCATTATTCTCACATGAGATTAATCACACACACATGTGTATATGCAAACTACATTATTATGCAGTTATAATCACATCGTCAGATACATATAACCAACAACTTACCAATCATCTCTCACTTCTTGAGTTGG